GCTGGGGTGGCGGGGGGTGCTGAGCCTGGAGCAAAGGAGGCTCAGGGGAGACCTTCTGGCTCTGCACGGCTCCTGACAGGAGCCTGGAGCCAGGGGGGGGTCGGGCTCTGCTCCCAAGGAACAAGGGACAGGACAAGAGGAAACAGCCTCAAGCTGCCCCAGGGGAGGTTTCAGTTGTCCCTGAGGAACAATTTCTTGCCCTGGAGGGTTGCCCAGGGCTGTGCCAGGCTGCCCAGGGCAGTGGTGGAGTCCCCACCCCTGGAGGGGTTCCCAAGCTGTGGAGATGTGGTGTGAGGGACACGGGGCAGTGGGTCCCTGGCAGTGCTGGGGGATGGTTGGACTCCTCTTAAATGTCTCTTCCAGCCACGCTGACTCTGCCACTCCTCATGCTCATCCTGCCCAGGGCCGTGCCTCCCCTGGAGCTCCCCCCAGGCCCCCCCTGGCACCCCTGGGGGGCAGCCCCTGCGCTCTGCAGTGACTCACAGCCGGTGCAGACGCCGTGCAGGCTGCAGTTGGCAGGGCCACAGTCCAGCAGGTCACAGGCTGGGGCCCTCCAGAAAGGCACCGAGCCACGGCAGATCCCGTGGCCGCTGCAGTCGGGGGGCTCGCAGGGGGGCTCGTGGATGCACAGGATGGTCGAGATGCTCCGAGGGCAACGCCACATGCTGTCAAAGGAGCTGGGGGCAGAAGAGGGGTCCTGTGAGGCAGAGCAGCACCCTGCTGCCCCCAGCCCTACAGCAAACCCAGGGATACAATCCACTGACTTTCATCTTGACCAGCGCTGCTGCACAAGAACATTCCTAACAGGACCATAGGAAGGTAAAACTAGATTTGAAGCAATGTTTTCACTGGCCTTCAACCCACCTTTTCTGGAGTATCACCTGCTTGGAGCTATGTGATGGCACTGCAGTTCTAGGAACATTTCACTTTCAGCCACCAGACTGCAAACTGAATTTTAAATCCCTTCAGAAAGGACTAAAAAGCTAAACTGGGAGTAAAGCACTTTAGGTTCCCTCACGTGGGGCAGGGCAGGGTCTCCAAGTCAGGGTTTTTCTTCCTCCATAAAAAGCTGCTGAGAGCTCTCTGCTCATGCTGCTCTGAGTCTCCCAGTTTAAGAACTCTTTCCTTATCTGATTCCCACTTCAGGCTGCTCAGCCCCCATCAGCTTTGCCCCATGTCTGAAACTTCAACCCTGGATGACTAAGCAGCAAATATATGCAGTCAATAAATGGCTTTAAATTTTAGAGTCTCTCTCTCAAGCTGTCCCTTTGCCTTTCAGAGGTGACCTCCCAGCAGCACAGCCCCTAGGAGCAGAGCTCAGGACTGGGCTCCAGGAGCTGCTCACTCGTGCAGCCCTGGGCACAGCACCAGCACCTACCAGTGCTCAGAGGGGTAGCTGGCGAGGGTCCCGTTTAAGACCAGGGTGGCAGACCCTCCTCCATCCAGGTTGATGGCATTGATGACTCCCTGCTGCTTCAGGAATTCAGCCATTTCCCAGAGGTTGACCCTGCAGAAGCAAACAGGGTTGTGTTTGTTGCTCATTCATGATTGAGTTGAATGAAGCCACCCCAGTGGGAGCTTGGTGCCTCTTCTCACTGAGGTGAAGCTCTCCCACCCCAGGGGTGCTGGCTCACTGCCTGGAGGTGCCTCAGCTGCTTCTGCCTCTGCCAGGAAGACCCCAAACAACGGAGTCCTCAGCTGACCTCCCGAGCTCTGCGAGTCTCTGCCTTCAAACCTATCGCTGCTGGCCACAGAGCCCCCCTGCTTCCAGGGGGGGAATTTAGGGATGGATCTTGCCCCTTACCCTCTGGATTCTGTCTGTCCATCCACGTGAACCAGGACCAGCTGCCCCTGGCTGTCGTGTCCGACCGCAGTCCTGGCCGACACCACGTTGATGAACCTGTCGAAGGTTCCTGTGCAGGAGAGGGAACAATTCACACAGGGCTGAGGGGCTGTTTGGCTAAAGAAAGGGATTCAGAAGGTCTCCTGGAGGAGGCACCTGCTTTGAGTTTCTCTGGAGAAGTGTTAATCCCAACTGTGTTGCTCCTATTTGCAGCCTTCAGCACATTTAGCTCAAGAGCCCTGAAAGGTGAGCGCAGCCTCACCCTGCAGGCAGCCCAGTCGTCTCCAGCACAGAAGAAATCTGGACTTCTTAAGCAAGCTGGGCAGGAGCTGCAACCAGCCAAGGTTCCCCCTGCTACCCCACCCTCCCAGCAGCCCCCCCAGAAGGACAGCCCCTGCCCAGGCTGCAGCTGAGCTCTGCAGCACTCACCTGTGGTTTGGACATCACTGCACTCAGCCCTCCTGCTCTCGTTGACATACACCTCCCCGTTCCTCAGGAGCCACACCACCCCGCTCACCAGCTGCACAAAAGGGTTGGCCTGGTCCAAGACGTCTGCTTCAGACAGGTAACTAGGGGAGAGAGAGCACCAGGGGTCACCAGCAGTCCCAGCAGCGTCGTGCCCAAGCCTCTCCTGCTGCCAGCAGGCTCCAGAAGCAAGGGGAAGGGAGAAGGTGGCTCAGGGAAGGCTGGCTACATCCAAAACCAGAGGCCAAACGGCACTTCAGCAGCCAAAGCAGACCCTGCTCTCCATTATTCCACCTAAAAACAGCATTAATAATGGCCTGGATGCAACAACTCCTGCCAGCAACGTGGCCAGCAGACCTGAGGGGTCAACAGCAGGCAGCAGGCAAGGCTGGGGCTGGAGAGCTGTGCTGCAGAGCATCCCTGATGGCTCTGCGTGCTCCAGGCACATCCTGGGGGAGCTGGACACTCAGCTTCTGGGGTTTTGCTCTCCAGGACTGCAGCCCAAGCTTGATGCTTGGTAGGGAAGGCTGCCCAGGGAGGTGGGGGAGTCACCATCCCTCTGAAGGTGTTCAAGGAACGTGTGGGTGTGGTACTTCAGGACACAGTCTAGTGGCCAGGGGAGTGTTGGGTTGTTGCTGGGACTTGGATGATTTTAGGTCTTTTCCAACCTTAACGATTCTACAAAGTGTCACTGAAATATCTGAATGGAAAACAGGCAAAAAGAAAGGACCTCCCACTGAGGAGGTGGGGTCTCCCTCCTGCTCTCTGTGCCTGGGAAGTGGTGTCCCAGCGTGTGCTGGCTGAGTTAGGTAGCTGCTGGGACCAGGAGCTCCAGGAGGAAGCCCACACACCACACAGCAGCAGGGATGATGAGGAGATGGACAGATAATCCACAGCCATGGCATCAATCAGCCAGGGCAAACCAGGAGTGCCCCAGGAGCAACTGCACAGCCCTGGGGGGGACAGCCACGGGTGGCCCAGGGGGACCTCTCCTCGGTCCTGCTGCTGAGGAGGAAGGGCTTGGGAAGCAGTGGATGGGGGAGGAGGCAACCCAGGAGATGTCTGGATGGCTACTTAACTCTAAGTAACTTAAGACTGGGGTTTTTTTCCACTATAAAGTGTGGTGAATCACAGGAAAAGGTTTGCCCAGTGAAGCTGTGGAGTGTCCATCCTTGGAGATAGTCAAAACTCAACTGGACATGGCCCTGACGAACCTGCTCCAGCTACCCAGTGCTGAGCAGGGTGTGGGATGAGCTCCAGAGCTCCCTTCCAGCCCCAGTGCTCCTGGGGTTCTGCAGTTCTGCAGTGCACTCTGCCCCTCCTCTGTGGGGAGGACACGGAACCCTCCCCCTTCTACCACAATCACATTGGGAGAGGAGACACGGGCACCTAAAGCAGCTACAGATCAGCAGAGTAATTGATCCAGCTTCTCTTCATCCTAGGGAGGAAGCTCAGAGGCATAGCTCAGCGGGGTGCAGGTGGGACACCCCCCATTCTGGCACTCAAAGCAGCCTTCTGCTCTGACTGGGAGAGGTGCTCTTCAGGGAGGAGAGCTCTTCAGCCAGCCCCCCAGCTCTTACCCAAACACCATGGTGCCATCCTGCCGGATGCCAAACTGAGCGTTTTGCAGCCCTCCGGAGTTTCTCACCAGCTTTCCATCGCTCACCACGTTCCCCAGACACTCGCCGGTTTCCATTTTTTTGCGCCCCCGGCCCCTTCCCAAGCCTCGCCGTCTCCTCCACCGTGGCCCTGCGGCGAGCCCGGCAGCCCCCGCCGCCCCCCGGCTCCAGCACGGAGAGGGTCCGCCGGGGGTTCCTCACGAAGGTGAAGTGACCGTAGACCACCCTGCGGTCCTCGCCAACCGGCG